AACACACACACACACACACACACACACACACACACACACACACACACACACACACACACACACACACACACACACACACACACACACACAGACTCCACACACACCACATATTTGTATTATAATATTTGTCATTCATATCTGAGCTGCAGCAGTAATCCAGCCCTCTTTATGTACTAGTATTTGTTCTTATTATTTTCTTACACATTACATTACATCTTGTCTCACATGCATGATGAGAAACGATGTCTCTGTTGCTTGGTTACTCGTTGTCTTCGGTAAAGGGCAGCTGGTGAAAAATCTGGAAAAATAAATCCATGTTTCTGATCGGATTTAAGTCAATCTGTGATGTATCCTTTCGCCTCATGTAAGTATCTGAATATCTATATACGTGTGTGTGTGTGTGTGTGTGTGTGTGTGTGTGTGTGTGTGTGTTTTAATCTTATGCTATTTTGTTTTCTTTGCCAAACATGTTGAAAGATGTCTGAACATGATATCACAAAGCCAACATCCGGCCACTTTTTAATCAGGATTTGAATTAAAACACTGAAACGGGTCAGTAAAATGTAAATTCGGGAACTGCATGAGTTCAGCCGTAATTGTTACGTTCTACACTGATATTATCGTACAAAAGAGGCCAAATCAGTACATCCCTCTGACGATACAGAGTTAATATCTCTGTTAAATAACTTGTGACAATAGTGACGATCCCCTTTATTCAAGGTTCCCCGGATATACAACGAACCAGACCTTTCTGCCTGGTAACAACTCAAAGAACCCACAACACCAAAAGAAAATCCAGAACTTAAATACATGCAGAACTAATGAAAGGAAAGGACACAGCTGGGCAGGAAAAACACTTCAGGTGAACAGAAAAGGAAGGAAACACAGAGACAGGAAGTAGACAAGTCAAAAGACAGGGGGTTTTCAAAATAAAAGCTACCTTGTCTATGCTTCGGTTTCCACTTTGTTTTAGTTTGGCATTCAACACCTTGCATCACACCATGTTCACACATCCACACCTACACTACTGATCTTACTAACTTCACTTAACACACGCCATGATGGTAGCTCTTTTTGGTTGGTTGAATTCGTTATAATAAATATCTTTTTTTATATCGTGTTCTTTCCACGTTATTTGTTATGGCCAAGAGCCAGGCCATGACACCGTGACAGACAGATTGTGACAGCATGACATGTATCCACATTAATACTTATTCTCTTCTGATCCTCCTCTCACTGATTTCCCATATCCAGAACCTGCAACTAATCCTCAATGAAACCTGTTATACCATACGCTACATGATATTAAAGTAATATCGTATCGCATTATTTAACATCAATTAACCTCTCCGCCGCCTGCGCTTACTTCCTCCTCTCAGTGCTCCTATCACTGTTTGGTCTTTGTTATGGTAGTTTCCCTCTGACACGGTCATGCGCTCTGCTGTCATTGGCTAAAGCTAACCACAAATAGAGTAAAGCAGCGCTAACCCCATGCAAAAAGGAAAAGGGCCTTTCAATCTCCAAATAAATAAATATATTCTGCCAGGAGAGCCTGAGAGCAGGTTAGGATCTGTTTGAATATGCATCACTAGGTAGAGACCAAATCCAGAGGCACTTTGCACCGAGCATCCTGAACCAAGCAGGACACACACACACACACACACACACACACACACACACACACACACACACACACACACACACACACACACACACACACACACACACACACACACACACACACAGCGAGTCTCCAAAACATCAGCCCCTCGCAGGACAGAAAGGAACCTGCAGTTTGTACGAGACTGAAATGCCATAAAGTTCCCCGGCTCAGAGCGTTACGGTGAGGAAAACACAGCGCGGACAGAATGAGAAACAGAAAAAGATAAAAACAGAAACAGTCGTCCTCGTTGAGAGCGGCCATGTTTGGTTTTTAATGAGCAAGAAACACTCAGACTTTGCTCCGTGAAGAAAAGACACAGAAACTGAAGAAACACACACACACACACACACACACACACACACACACACACACACACACACACACACACACACAGACTCCACACACACCACATATTTGTATTATAATATTTGTCATTCATATCTGAGCTGCAGCAGTAATCCAGCCCTCTTTATGTACTAGTATTTGTTCTTATTATTTTCTTACACATTACATTACATCTTGTCTCACATGCATGATGAGAAACGATGTCTCTGTTGCTTGGTTACTCGTTGTCTTCGGTAAAGGGCAGCTGGTGAAAAATCTGGAAAAATAAATCCATGTTTCTGATCGGATTTAAGTCAATCTGTGATGTATCCTTTCGCCTCATGTAAGTATCTGAATATCTATATACGTGTGTGTGTGTGTGTGTGTGTGTGTGTGTGTGTGTGTGTGTGTGTGTGTAGGCGGAGATGGCCCTGCTGATGGAGGACGACGATGACGAGTCGAAACACAAACACTTCAACTACGACAAGATCGTGGAGGAGCAGAACCTGAGCAAGCAGAAGAAGAAGAAGCTGCTGAAGAAGAAGGGCGAGGAGAAGCTGGAGGGAGACGAGTTCCAGGTCTGTTTAGAGATTTCATCGTGGGGTGGGATGTAGGGATGCATTCCGG